GGCCACTATTAATGCCTCCTCCGCAGGGGGGGCGGCAGATTTCTGTGTGATGATGATCGAGTACCCATCTCTGTCCACACGTGACAGCAATGGAAGAAGACATCTATGTTGTTTGGCTGACACGAACCAACAACTTGACCGATGCTTACCGTACAGTGGTCAACCGACCAAACCCGTTCGTGCCACTTTTTCGCGCTTAGTTGATGCCAGAGCCGCCCGGGCTAGCTGTCCTTCGAGACCGCCGATTGACTTTCGTCGATTGCTCGCCCAACACGGGCGGATTCGCTCCGCCGGTCGTGAATGAATGAATGAATTGATTATTTTTATTCGTATTTGTTTGGTTATTGTTTATATTTTATGTTTATATGTTTTATATATTTATGTAATAAATTATACTTTTTTATATATTTTTATATGAAATTTTTATTGTTTGTTAGCTTTAATTTATTTATGTGTATATTTATTTTGTTTTTGTAAATGTAAGTGGCAGTGCATGGGACGTTTTGTTACGAAAAATTTGTAATTTTAAAATTTATTTATTAAGGGTTATATTGATTATATTTATTACAAAATGGAATTGTTTATCGATTGTTATATTTAAAATATTATACTTGCAACGGAAATTATATTTGGAAAAGGAAATGATATTATTAATCTAAAATATTAAAAATCGCTTTTGGAATATATTCGTTTGAGCATTTATGCGTAATTGTATAATGCATTTCTTATATTTTATGTGTCGTGGTTGTTGGGACCTTTGAGTATAGGAGGTTACGATGCGGAATTCGTTCGCCGTTTTACTTGAATAAGCAGATAGGTAGTGGAGTTGGATACGATTTAGGTTGTCGGTTCTTTCGGTGATCTATATTAATGTGATGTTTTTCGTTTATTTATTGAAGGACGAGGGTAAGCTCATTATTTATAGCCCCCAATAAAAAAAAAAAACGTGAGAAGAACGAGAATTTCGCAACCCGAGGCCGTGAATTTAAGGCCTAAACCCACTGGAGGACGAGGTTTGTTCACTTAGGTGGAGGATTTTGACTTTGCCAAAACCAGAAGTCATATTGGTCGAAAATGGTCGAAGGTGTATTTTGGGGCAAATAGGTTGAGACGTCGTATGCGACGCCACGGAACAGCTCGACTTTGATGACATCGAGAATGCCACAAAGCATTTATGTTTCGTTTGCTGGACGAAACGTGTTAATATGGGGATTTATGGAGGTTCCCTTTCGCTGCGATAAATTCTTCTCCCAGTTTGGCAGCCACAAAGGAGAAGAACTCTAGTCCCATTTCATCCGCCATAAGACACTCCTGAAGCGGACAAGGGAAGTGAATGTGAAGTGCCACTTCCGAAAATACTCCTTTTTGCCTTTGGACTTGCTTTCCAACCACAATTCTTGCTTTTTCCTTTACCTTTGCGGCCATCTCCCTTGCCTCCGGGCCGAGTAATCATGGGTAAAATCCGTTCGACAAGGCGAGCTCCTTCATCCTCTTACGGCTTTCCTTTCTACACCGCTGACAATATTTTGTCAATTATCTCCATTGCTTCTTTGAATTCTTCAGGAATCTCTTCATCCTCTTTGAAATGGACCCCATCATTATACCATTCAGGTTCTTTGCCATCTTCTGCTATGAAGTCATCGTACCACTCCTGGTCGACCTCTTATTCTTAGTGGACCCGTTTTGCTTGGCACTTGCACCACCACGAATTTATATTTTGTGCATTCGAACAATGAGTAACTCCGAACATCCGGAGCAATACTTTGCCGACTTTCTCGTACTCTAGGTCGCCTGAACACATGGCCTTGATCTAAACGTGATCTACCGTGGAACACTGGCGGAGACCTATGTCAGGATTGAGGAAGCCTTTTCTTCGATCTCCATCTAAATCCACTGGCCAGAAGTCCACTCTCTGTGCCAAGGTGTGAAGGAGGTGGCAAAGGGTATCATGATGGTGGAGCAAGTAACCGTCATGCAACAGGCAGAACAAAACCTGAAGATCGATAGGGGCAAGGATATTGTTGATACCATCCCCAACTCACCCAACACCTGCTAGCTCAATGATTCCACTTCATAGGGTGTATATGCCAGACATCAAAATTGCTCGTAAACTTGCTTCTTTCCTCAAAGCCAAATTAAGCCTCAAAACCACGACAGAAGTTCCGAGACCGGTTTGTGGACCCCTACAGTACCAACAAGTGGCTTCTGCACGTCATCCGACCAAAGCAAACACAGCAAAGCTTTGTTTGACCCCTTTTCAATTTGACGTTGGCGCCAACAAGGAAAGTCAACATGCTCTTTGTGACTGAGTTGGTCCAAAGAATTGCAAGTCATTGTGAGGTTAAAAACGGTGTCAACAAAATTGCACCAATCATGAAAATCCCATGCCCACACCTAAATGCAAGGAGTGTAGTTATCCTCTGCTCAAGAAAATGAGTGGAATTTTTCTGCCTTGATTTGGAATCACTTTGCGCACTCAACAACTGCCTGACCTTTGACAACCACACGGGAGAGATGAAACCGAAGGAACGCCTAACTCCACGTGAGTTGCTTTGAAAGTCGGGTGTGATAAAAGGAGGAGGGGCCAAGAGAATTCTTAATTTTCCATGAACAGGGTGCTTAATTTCATTTGCCAGCTTTTGGCCTGTTTGATTAAACGTTTTCGCATTCAGCATTTCATATGCAGTTGCGATCAATTTTTCACATTTGACGTGCCGTGGCCACCAGCGCCTTGAATGCAGGCGTTTCGACCCCAAACGAACGTTCAAACAAAGCAGATTCCTTTTTGCGGTTTTCTTTGCACTTTTACAAATGTGTATATTCATTTGCTTGAATATTCAGACTTGCTACAACCAACCTTTACAATACTTGTGGCTACCTACATATATTATCATTTCACATTTGGGTTTCTTACCAAGATACATTTTTTAAAATTTGGAATTTACCTGGATTTCTGAATGTATTTGTCGATTTACATGTATTGATGAATAATTGGAAACTTATATGTTTTTTTCATGTTGAAAATTTGAAAATATAAAAAAAATTTGTTTTTGTTGTAAATAGCTATTGGTAATATTCAATTCTTCTTTTTTGTGTCATTGTTATTATCTGCCCTTTTCCGCTCGGGATGCAATATTGCTTTTCATTTTGCTTTTAGATTTGTTGCTGCTGGCGTGCATTTGATCAGAAGCTTATGTTTGAGGGCCATGTCAACATAAAATTGTCAAGACGTGTTCGTTTTAGTGATCTTGCTTTTCTTACGAAAACGTGTATGAAGCAAGTTAAGGCGTGCAATAAGAACCCATGATCGAAAACAATTCTTTAATGTATAGAATGCAAAGTGTTTCAATTGTCGTCTGGTATTCCACATCTGTGATGTCATGGAACCTAAAGGATGTATGAGATGTATGGACCCACGACCACGAGAGAAGTGATCAATATACAATTGTCTAAATTGAAATTCAAGATCAAGACTTGGGACTGAAGTTGCACATGTTTCCATTCATGTCCATTTAGTTGTCTGTTTATGGATGAGGCCCCGTGCGGTCTTTGTTAAGCTTGAGCCACTGTGGCTTTTGGTCACGCTGGGTGGGTGTGGTAAACCAACGAGGCAGCGCAAGATTGAGTGGTCACCTGAAGCTCCGTTAATACGTTTAATCTGACAATGAACAACGGGATTCATTTGTTTTTCATTTGAACTGATAATTTCGATTGAACATGCAATTCATGCGGCTAGCATGAATTCCATGAACAAACGTGCATCGAAAGCCTTGTTTACAGTATAATATAATAAAACGAAATTCACAAATTAAATTGTGCAGAAATATACGATAATTTATCTTGCGGGGCCTTGGCAAACTTCTGTCAGGTGTGCATATGTATGGCAAAATTACTATCTACGGAAAGTTTTTTCTTTTATGGTTCCTAGTCCGGAGAAAATCATTTCCTAAATTAATAAAATATTATAATTAATTTTATTATATCATTGCATCCATTTATAATAGAATTAATTATCATCATTCCAATTAAAGATCTAGAAAGCAAAATAAAAAGGCTAATTAGTCTTCTATATAATAACATTAATAAATTTGGTCTTTTAAAAATACGAAATAAGCATTTCATTCGTCCATAATGCTTTACCATAATATTCAATATGGTCTTTATAAATTATATGTCTATATATATAATACCATGCTCATTTTATATGTTTATATTTAAAATAAAAATTAAAAAAAATCGAAATCTAATCGTATCCAAATTTCATTATATTTCATAATCCTATTAAAAATCGTAAAGCAACCTAAAGCTCAAAAAATCCATTCCCTACCTAATAAAAAATAAAAAAATCTTCGTACCAATTAAAACCAATAATATTATAAAAAAAATAATTCAGACCATAATTCTCAAAATTTAAATTAAAATCTCCAATAACGATAATAGAACCAATTAAAATATAAAAAATAAATCATATAAAATATAAACTACATAACATCATTTACGAAAAAAACAATACCCAACGAATTAAATTAAACATATATTTTTGATTTTTTTCTATATTTTCATAAAAAAATCAATATTTATTATCATTAATCAATACATATTATTATTACACAAAAAAAATATTTTATCAATTTTCAAATTAAATACTTATTTATCAATCAATAATTTTAAAGAATTTAATATATTCGATTTTTTTCAATATTAAAACCAAAACCCAAATCTTCCATCAAATAAATATATCTTTAATATATTTTAATTCATCAAACATCAAAAAATAATATATTTTTACAATATATCTTCTCGAAAATACTATTATACCTTTTTGTAATATTTATTTTAAATAAATATTTAATTCTATAATATTTAAATATATCTTTGATATTATTTTTATTAGAACTATATACGAAATTTAATTAATGCATATAGTTTTCAAAGACAATTTATTTTTTAAGAAGGATATTTTTATATATGTATTGTAAAATTATTATTTCTTCAATATACGTTGCTTTCCTTTTCTTGTGGATTTGTGACACGATGTATATAAGAGCAGGAATTCTCTCATTATTTTGGTTTCATTGCTGCAGGATGGGCAGAATTAGGCCTTTCATACCAAACGAAATGCAAAACGATGCTCCAAAGCAATAGTCGGTCTCCTTTGTGTCCAAGCCACGTCTTGGAGCTTCTTCGCTTCCTTTGGTGACCTCAATAGCCCGAGGCCAAAAGAAAGTCAACAGCTTCATGTCTTCCTTTGCTTGCCGCCTAGGTTAGCTGTGCCAAATCCATCCTTAGGCCTCCGTGCCCAACCCTTCTTGTAAAGATATTCTTCGCCTTTCGCCTTGCACAAGGGAAGGCTTTGTGAAGATTTCGACCGCAGAACATTGTAATTTTTCCGAGGTTTTCTTGCAAATCTCAACAAGCACAACACACCACTGTCTATGGCATCAGAGCGCCTTGCGGCTCATGCGATGGGCATCAGCCTGGTCTGGTTTGCAAAAGGTTGAAAGGCTCACCAATGAATTGGAGGATCCAAATTCTTTCCATCTGGGTGTAGGACACAAAAAATGTGTGGAATAAGACTGCAGCGCGGGCACCACAAATGAGGTTGGCTTTATGTTTCGACCCCCTCCAACTCCAAAAATGCCTCAGACCAAGTAATATTCTTCCCGCCTGCTTGATCTTCTTTAAGATTTCTTCAGTTGCGCCCTTGCCCGCCCACCTGCACAAGGGCAGAAATGAAGTGAACCAAAGCAAGACCAGCGCTTGCCGCTTGCCAGCAAACAGACTTTGGACAATGAGCTTTCCAAACAAGAGATGTTGAAACGCAGTGGCTGGCACCTCTTCTCCAGCTCCTTTCGCTTCAGATGGCCCTGCCGCTTCCTCGCCATGGACATTCAAACGAGTGGAACTCGCTGACAGGCAGTGTCCACGTTAGGAACAAAAACAGCAAATCAATGGAATACCGTTTCAGTTGGGTCTGCCATGCGTGTTTGATTCCCATGGCTTTCTCATTCCTTTATAAAAATTGGGGAAGACGCACAGATATGTCTTTTCCAGAAAAAGAAGGTTTTCTCTTCGCAGCAATTTTGGCACAGCGCGTTGTTTCAGAGCTTGGATCCCGAAACAAATCCTCCTATACGCTATGAGACAGACTCGCAACCAGCCTTTGGATCACATCCAAATCGTCAGCCTCCACATCACCTGTGCCATCCTTGGAGTTTTCAGACGGGATGCGAATCCTTTTTCAACAGGAATGCTACTAGGGGCTCCTGGCCTTGCTACTAGGAGCAAGGACGCTACTAGGTGCTCCTGCTCCTCCTTGATCAAGTAAGGGAGTAAGCTACTTGTTAGCTTCTGGGATCTGGACGCAGGATAGCTCATGCTTCTTCAAGGAATGAGTGCGGGGGGAATGATAATCATTTGGTTCCGAGATTTTTAGGGAAACTTATCCTTTTTCCTTTTCAATGGCCTCCGTTCTTTTCAAGTTGCCAGCAGCAGAATAGGTGGATCGGTGACACTGACCTCAGGCGAGGGCATCTTTCTCATCGCTCCCAGTCTGTTTTTCACTCACAAGAAGAGGTTGGGCACTGTGAGCACAATCCGTTCACAGCCAAAAAACAATGAAACCTTGGCGATCCAATCGGCGTTTGAAAACACCTAGCCAAACATGATCCAAAAAGGAAACTGGCAAGTTATACTTCTTGTTCCTAGTAGCTACTTGCTCCCAGTAGTAAGGCCAGGAGCCCCTAGTGGCGTCCTTGCTCCTAGTAGCGATGCCAGGAGCCCGTAGTAGCTTCTTGTTCCTAGCAAGCTTGGAACCTGTCGAGGATTGCTTTTGCTCCAGTCGCCACGACGCGGTCCCAACCAAACGAAGCCGGCCTGAGCGTCGAAGGAGCCCTCGAAGACAGCGAAGCCCGCAGTGCCCTTGACACGCTTCCGCCACCAATGCACCGCCGCAATGAGGTCCAAACCCTCGGGGTGAAAGACCTCAACTTGACTTCAAAATCAAAAAGAGAAAACGACAGAGAGAAGGAAAAGAAGAAGAATCCTTCCGAAAACGACACAGGACCTTGTCATCTTGTTGAACCCTTTTGGTGTGGTGTCTTTAGCTTTCTCATACTCCATCAAAACGCCAAAGAACATGCCACATCAAGTCTCCAACACTGCAAGCGCTTCCGGTCGGCCTTGCTGGCGTAAGATCGCTCGATGCCCCCTCGGTCGTAGCTTCCTCGATCGATGAAGAGATGCACCTGAAAGAATCCAAAGATCGACTCAATCTATGTGCCGAAGCTCTTTCATTCAACACAAATTCCTCAAAAACAAAACTTGAACAAAAAAAACATCAAGGATTCTTCTGCTCTTCATGCTGTCCAACCAAATTCAAAACCCTTCCAAGAACCCTTCTAGGTACTTGAGGTTGACTCGTCCAAGGTGCCCGAAGGATGGGCAGGCGGCTCCAGGCCGCAGCCAAATCCCAATTCAACTTGGGCACGGCCTGATTTCGGGATCTCCACCGGTCGAAACTGGAAAGGAAAAACCGAATTGCATTTCAAAGTGCATTTCCCCAAAGCCTTTAAGTTCTGAAGATAACGGTGTTCGTGGGTTTGCATACTTGGTGTTCGTCCATGTCCTTTCAACTTGGGAAACACCAGCATTGGCATGGTGTAGCTAAAGAGGCAATAAATGCAGTAAGTCAAGTGCACGAAGTCTTCACTCACGGTGTCTGTACAAACTCCAACATGTTGATCTTCAAAGACTCACTGCCCGCTACGACACAAACAAGAACGCTTTTTGAACGACATGATATCTTGAACGTTTCGAAGAAAGAATGCTTTCTTTATTACACACTTTCCTTTTCATTTTCTTTTCTTGTCGGTTGATTGTTCTTCAGACCTTGCTCTTGACTAACCCTCATTCTCCATTCCAGCTAGAAAACAAGAATGCGGTTTGAGCAGTACCTCTCCCGGTTTCCCCAAGCTTCACCCCATCCGCGCCTGGAGGATCCCCTCGATGCTAGTGTAGAGCTCTACTTCCCCGGTTGTCTCATCCGTCTTCCGCAAGGTGCCAGCGACATCCCTGGAGACCTGCTCGCATGCTCAGTGATGGGAAAGCTGTCTGGTCACAACCAATGCTTTTTTGAGGACACGACAGCATTCAATGAGACAAAAGCTATAAGCGACGGATAGCGAAGTACCTGGCTCATGGCTCCACTTTGGACCTGCGAATGCCTCTTCGGATAGATACATCCTCTGCGAAACTAGAGAAACATTGTCTTCTTTGGCCGACCGCATGCTGGGAGTCGAATTCCCTTTACCCGCCCTCCTGATAGGTCTCGGTTTCAGGCGTCGCCAACGCCTCAGGTTCCCACGCAGCTTTGACAACTTCCCTTCAGAACCACTAGGGAAGAAAAGGGTAGTCACCGTAGTCACCAGAGGCAGTCAGCGTTCCTTTATCCCTTCAGCAGAAACATGCATGAAGCTCTGGAATCAACAGATCCACGTGTAGCAAATGCTAATTAGCAAATGCTAACTTGTAAAATGATCTCCAATCTCTGTGGCGTGGAGTTGCAAGTTTCAGTCAGTATGCATGCTCAGCACAAGAAAATGACCCATTTTCATTGCGCAACAAAGCCTTGGACCTAACTAAACCCACTACTAGTTCCTACAACGCCTTCTTTTTAGGCGTGGAATGCCTTGCCAGCACGTTAACCTCCACAAAAGCTCTGAACTCGGGACTCACCTTTCTCACCAGACTCAGTGCTTCACCTTTGGCGGCTCACCCTCCATGCTGCGCACGCTCTGAGCCCGACCGAAAATGAAGATTCAGAACACTTTTCTTACCAGTGAGTCACAGTGATGCGTCTGAAAAGGAGTGTGAGTCGTTTTTTTCGAAAAAACGGAGCTGATTTGTATTTGGGTCTTGAGTCAGTGAACATCAACCATGATGAGTTGCCACCTAATATTGACCGTTTTTTGAACGAACATCCAAAGAGCAATGCAAGAGATTGCAGAATCTGTGTCAAACTGCTCTCAGTGCAGGCCTAGCTGTGGCTCCTCTGTTTCTTCGCTCTTCTTGGCGGTTCGGTGCTGCGTTCTGGCACCGGATTCCCCGTGAAACACCGAGCCTGCTGTTGCCCCCAAGTGAGCAAAGTAGTGTGGAGCCACATTCGGCAGTTGGGTGACTTGGTCAGAAACACGCACCTTAAGATTGGAGGCCATCGCTCTCAGATTCTTCTTGTGCTTCTATCAGCAACAACTTGAGGGCACCATGCTCCAATCTACTGCAACAGCGGCTGATCGCACAGCCCAGGGCGGCTTGATAGCCAGGTGCCGGCTTTGGGTTTCCGCTGTTTGTAACCTAAATCCACTGCGCAACTGACGCATAAGGGTCATCTGGGTCTTTGCGAAACAGAGTTGACAGTTTGGGCCATTAGGTTGGAGGCCATCGCTCTTAGGTTCCTGCTTGTGCTTCTAGGAAAGCTGGTTGCTTCACCGGTTTGGCCAAGGATGCACCAGGCCAGGCCACCCTCTCGTTGCTCAGAGGTTGTCCAGGTCGATGTCATCCTGGCGAAGTCGACACCGTTGAACATGTGGGGGAACGGTGAGTCGAGCTTTTTCACGAATGCGGATGAAAACCACACAAGAACAACTTGGTGGAAGAAGTCTTCCAAGCACAGAATCCACTTGTTTGTCTTTGAAGGTCCAAAAAGAACAAAAAGAAAAAGAACAGGAAAAAAGAACACACCTTTGAAAGGTAAATAAATCAATCAGTATCCTTCCACAAAGGTTGTCCCTTCACACATTTCCATCCATTTTTCCGTTCCTTTGGGCTGCTGGGCACAAAGGCAACATTTGGGGGTGAAGCACATCCTTTCGTTAATTTTCTTCTCCTTTCTTCTTAACCAGCATGATCTTGATCGAATGATTTGACTCCAAAATCTCCCCGTTCAACACTCACCGCAGCCTCCTCGTCCCGTCGCTTCCGCTGGATCTTCACCGAACTGCTGGTGGATGCTGCGCTCCTCGGCTCCATTCGCCGGCTCCATTCGTATTCAAACGACCCCCCCCCTCACGACAGAATCTCAACGATCTATTGCTTCTAGGAACCGCAAAGAATTCATTTTTTTATGCTTTTCTTTCTTAATTCTTTTCTTTCTGTAGAGCATCCTTTACTAGCATGCGTAAAAATGAGCTGTGAATGAAACGGTGAACATCGTTCCAGCGATTCGGATGAATGCACCCCTAGAATGCACTCTCGATTTCTCCAAGCGACATCTTTTCCATGAGCTGCGAGAGCTGTGCATCCGTCATCTTTTCCTATGCGTCAGTGAAAAAAAGCGGCGATTTTTGCGGATGAGCACCACCCCTTTCTTCTTGGTGCACCGTTTGATGGTTTTTCAGGCGGTCATCTTCGACTGCTAGCAGTGTAAGGTGTGATTGAATAGCATCGGTCCTTGTCTGGCTCTATGGCATTATCTGAAACCATGTGAAAATACCACCGATGCTGCAATGCTAAACTTGCAGTCATATTGGAATTGCTTTATCCGCTCGGAAACCCAATGGCAGTGCAACGTGGGGTGGAAAAAGGAATGAAGGAGATCTCTAGCACTTTGCATAGTTGTTGTTGGGCTTCATTAGGCGTGGCTTCGGCTTTCGCTCAGAAACGCTTCTTGGGGTGGGACAAGGAGCAGCATCGGTTTTCAATGTGCAAGGATGAATGGATATCTCATCATTCTCATCCAAATTGATCACGCACATAAGCTAGTAGTAACAAGTGCCTCGCTTCTAGGAACAAGTGCCTTAGTAGTAACAAGAAGCTAGTAAGCTTTTCTGTTACTATTTTGTTGTTACTACTAGCCCTTTCCAGCCTTTCTGACATCACTTCGTCCCTTCAGCCTAGCCACGCTGATGCGACCACTCTGCGCTTGCTGAATCAGCATCAGTTCCACCTACACGAGAGGTTTCGGCTTGGGAGCGCAAGTCACACAGCGGCGCTGGTGAACTTCGTTGGTCTGAGTGATGTTCACCAACTTTCCATTTCGGTGACAAGGATACAGCCTCCTGTCATATCATAACCCTCACCAGCAAACAAACAATAGACCTTCACTGTATCGTTGACTTTGACTGTTACACAGGTGGTTTCCCAGAAATTTCGGCATCGGCAACTGTGAACGCGCTTCTCTGAATGCAAAGAGAGCTGCCTTGAGTCCTAATTGAATCGTGAATGATACTTGTTGCAGCAGTTTGACCACAGAACCGATGAAAGTTCTATTGATGTGCAAATGTAAATTGCAATGTTGAGGAGCAACCAACAATCGCGGAAACGGACCTTCTGCCCAGGTTTTGTCAGGTTCAGACCCTTTTCATCCACCCCACCGACCTCTGGATGCCATGCTACAAAGCTCTATACGCGCGACGACCCTGGCAAACGGACAGAACACCCTGCAATGGCGCCGCCCACAGTGCCTGCTCCTTTTTCTCAGGCTTCACCAAACCGATGCGGTGCAATCGCTCGAGGGCCTTCCGGTTTCGGACGCAATCCACTTGCTGAGTAGAAACAATGTTCGCTACTAGGAACAAGTGCCTCGCTACTAGTAACAAGTGCCTTACTAGTAGTAACAAGAAGCTATTAGGAACAAGTGCCACGCTACTAGGAACAGGTGCCTTACTAGTAGTAACAAGAAGCGAACGTAGAAACAATACGAGTCCCAACCTTTCTTACTTTTTTTTGTAGCGATGGCCTCCAACCTACTAGAGTCTAGAGATGGCCTCCAGCCTAGTAGCGTTCTGAGTGACTAAACATAAATCCTGGTCAATTTGCTGCAAGGGGTTGGGAGCCATCCACACTGCTTCACTGTGAAAGTAGCTGGGGTAGTAGCATTGCTCTAAACTCCGATGTGTCGCAGCGGTTCGGGTCAGTGTGCGGTTTTCACAAACGCCAGGTATTGAATCGAAGACGTCAGCCTTTAATGAAGACATGAGGCTAGTAGTAACAAGTGCCACGCTAGTAGTAACAGGTGCCTTACTAGTAATAACAAAAAGCTGTTAGTTGATTTAATTATAATAGCTTCTTGCTCCTAGTAGCGATGCCAGGAGCCCCGAAACCTTCTCACGACATTCCAACCCAAAAAGATCGAGCCACGACAGCCTTGCCTCCGGCTCCAAGATTGATCTGATCATGATCCGTTTCCGCTCCTGACCAAACAATGATACCAAAAAAGCACAAATGCAGCAGTAATTGGCAGCTTATTGATGTGCATGGTGGCTCACAACGGTTGAAAGCTGGTGAAGCGATGAAGGGAAGGGACGGGGCGTCTTTCCGGTTTCACTTCGGTCTGAGTTCACGCTTGCCTCCCTCCCGGAACAAACGAAGTAAACTGTAGGACAATTGTTTCTTCATGCGCTGGCCGCCCTGGCCGCCCTGGCCGACCCGCTCTTTGGGCGTGTTGCCGAACGAAAACAAACGTGGCACTGGAAAACCACATTGATGCTGCGTCTACTACTAGGAGCAAGGATGCTACGAACGGGGCTCCTGGCCTTGGGGTGAGAACTCCAGCGACAAGTTGAGGGATGCGGTCAAAAGCGTGGGTCTTGGAGGTCCGTTTCGGGCGACACCGCACTCGGTACAGGAATCGCCGGAACTCAGAACTAAGGTCTCCAAAAAACAGGCCCAACTCCCTGCTGTTATCCAGTCAGTCACGCCTCCATTTCTTGTTGTTGTGCCTTCTGCTCTTGCATCTTCTGAAGGTCTGACTCCTCACTGCTTCAGCTGTCTGTGTCGGTGACCAGTGGGATGAACCAGTCTAAATCACGGAACAAAGAACTACAAGATTAAGACTAATTGAAGGTCTTTTCCATGTATTATGTCAAACACCCAGTCACATTCAGGGCCTCACTAATAACTGAGTTGGGATCCAGCCTGCTATAAAATCACTTTCAAGAAGGAATGGCGGTCATTCCTCACACATGGTATCTTCCATATCATCCCAAAGCAAAGTTGGATCAGTTGCAGTGAGACACTACGGTAGGTCTGCTTGGTTACCTTCCAGCAGGTGGAGGTAGTGAGGTAGTTCTGATAGTGAGGGCTGACCTTTCATGCCTCAGTGAAAGACTGGTTCCAATAGCAGTACTGAACATGAAGACGGTTGAAGAAGAATCTCCCCAAAGCAGCCCCGTAAGAACCTGTTGTCACAGTGTCTGGCAGTGTTTGAGGGCTTAGACCGATCAATCTCCAAGCATCTGCCTATCTGATCCCGGCACACCAAGGAAGATTTGGTGTCCAAGAATAAGAAAGCGTTGGTCAGTTTACACCCTCAGGCGTCATGACCTACTGAAGAAAGTCACCAGGCATCACCAAAGAAGAACCCTTAAGAAGCCAAGGCCGGGCCTCCACGGCGGCCAACTCTCTGTGCGTGTCCAACAAAAGTGAAGCATCAAATGGTGACACGTTCGCTTTGCATGTAAAACGTAATGTCCAACTGCTATTTGCAAGCTTTACAAACGGTACTTGCTCTTTTTCTACAAGTTTTACAATCTTTTTCAGCTTTACAAGCTTGGCTTCCAATCCAGTTGCCCAGTCAAAGAACTTTCAGCCCACCTTACACCTGGTCACCCGCCTCAGACGTAGGGGACGGGGGGTGTCGTTCTTTCACGCCAGTGGCGGATTTTCCGTCCAATCAAGCCTACAACTCACCTATGGCTGGACAGTGAGTCAGACTCAAAGCTTCCGGCTCTAAGTGAACAAAATGAACTGCATCCTCTGCATATTCCATGGAGAAGATTCACATAGTAGCTTTGACACCTGATGCTATACTCCACCTGCCACCTGCCGTCCTGCTGCATCTGCATGCCCGCCGCCATCTTAGCGCGGGCCTCCTCATCAGCCTCGCCAGAAAGAAAAGATGTTCGAAACATGAAGTTGGCTCCTGGCCTTACTACTAGGAACAAGAAGCTACTAGTAACAAAGGGCATCGCTACTAGTAACAAGTGCCTTACTAGTAGTAACAAGAACGCTACTAGGGGCTCCTGGCCTTACTACTAGGAACAAGAAGCTATAGGGCTCCTGGTATCGCTACTAAGAAGGCCGATCAAAGACCGACACACCAAAGGTTTGTGTCTTTTCTGAAGACAAAGTAAACCTTTGTGCAAGAATTCAACGGCGGCATGTGACACCTTGTCGCGCATCCACCTTCAGAAGATAGAAAGACACATTGGTCCTGAAAGAAGGACTGAAACACCTAACTTATCAGATAAGGACGCTACGAGGGGCTCCTGGCCATACTACTAGGAGCAAGGACGCTACTAGGGGCTATGGATAGAGATTGCCACTTCGTCAAACAACTATCTGCATGTGCTGGCGTCAAGACGTGACAAGAGTTTGGAGGAACCCTTTCGCTTCATCGCGATCAATTTTCGCGGTGTAGAGTCTCGTGTTACTCCTACCTGACAGCTTCTTGTTACTAATAGCAAGAATGCTCCTAGTAGCGATGCCAGGAGCCCCTAGTAGCATCCTTGCTTTTTTATCCCCATGAGGCAGTGGACAAACCTTTCAAGGCTACTCACCACTTGGCGACTTGTCTTTCGTCCAAAACGTCCAAGTTCTTTCCCGTGTCTTGCGACCTTCATGATTGAGCAGCAAAAAGGGCAGTCGGGTAACGGACTTCAGCGTGGCTCAAAATTGCTGCAGTGCAAGCAAACACCATAGGGGCTCCTGGCCTTACTACTCGGAGCAAGGACGCTACTAGGGGCTCCTGGCCATACTACTAGTAACAAGAAGCTACTAGTCACTAACTTCAAATCCAAATGTGGCGGACCCACCGGGAGGCTTACGTGAACACCACAGCTACATGTGCGGTTCCCAGATGCAGGCTCTCGCCCCTAGTAGCTTCTTGTTCCTAGTAGCGATGCCAGGAGCCCCTAGTAGCGTCCTTGCTCCTCGCACGTAGTCCATTTGATTTTAAGGTCTGCGCTTTAGCTTCTCCGTGAAACCCAACTGTGACAGGGCCCGGGTCAAAGGAAGACAGCATTCAAGACATGAAGATTGGCGTTGCTATCGCCTAACCTGTCGCTTCAAAGGAATCATAGAAATTATCAAACAATCACATCTATATACTTTAGCAAAGGAACAAAGCATCAATAAAGGCAAATAAAGCATCATCCGAAAAACAAAGGTAACAATTGCCTTCTGATTTCATTGGAATTAAATCAACTTCTCCTTTCCAACACTGTTCGCGTGCATTTCGTTTTTACAATTTGAATCGATCTTGGTTCTTGACTTCAGGCAAGAGCCCCAAACAATCATCCCAAGCGATAAACAAATACATTCGGAAAATATATGGAAAAAACTTTACTCCCTGTAACAAATGTAGAAAAACACCAACATGGTAGATCTTTGAAGGTGTATATATACATTCAAGGCTTACCCAGCTGAGAACCGCTTTTGATTTGTGTTACACCCTCACTTTTACATTTGGACCTCAAAGTCAATGACAAAATGCTTTCATCGCATCTTGCAACGTCTCTTTTCAGCTTTTCGTTACTTCACGGATCAAATTGACAAAGGCATGTTCGCCCGTGAATTCTTGGCATTGCTCTTTGATCTTCAATGCCTTTACACGCATCTCCTTCGATTCCACCAGCTGTTTCATCAATCCAGCAACCTGAGATGGATGATCCGTCTTCATGGCCTGCAGGGCCATCCCCTTTTCAGCGGCCAAACGGATATTCAGATCCTGTTCCGGCATCATGCCCACACCGACAAAAGGCACTCCAGAGCACATACTCGTGTGAACAGTTCCTTGCCCACCATGGGTCAGAGCAGCGTCACAAAGGGGTTCCACTCGGTGCGATGGAAGTAAGGATGATGGAATGAAGAGTCTGTCCTCAGGAGGCTCTTGGGAGGGCAAGGTATTGTCAGGAAAAGAACACTGAAACCGAAAACCGGATGGCTTCCCTGCAGAACTATCATTTGACTGAGCCACGCTACTGCTGTATGCCTTTTCTCCCTGTTGAACATCTGGGATCGCACAAGCACAGCACCATTTTGAAGTGCACTCAACTGACTTCTGATGTGGTTCATCTACATGGCGGGCTCCACTATCAGAATTGAAATGCACCCGCAACAAGTGAAGGTGACTTTGTAAATGGTGCGCCTGATATTGAAGTGGATTGGATGAGGTTTTTACTAAAGCAATACATACTTCAGTGCCAAAACATGCGGGTGAAGCAATTTACTGTCCGTTGTACCAAACGAGCCAAACCCACCACGCACATCTCTCATTCCCTCCAGAGAAAAGTGAGAGAGTGCCTAGGCTATGGCTCTATGTGTTAGATATCTCCTTTTCGTGAAGGCTTTGGGTTCCACAGCTACCAATTGCCATGCTTCTGAAGCCAGCCCCGCTTCCACCAAGGCATGCTGATCAGCGCTGTCGATTCCCACACCTTTCAACAGCGTATGGACCGGCGCAATGACGAACCACGTCCTCAGTCCGATGGACTCACTGAGGAATCCCAGTCGTCTCCGAACTCCGGTGTAGAGTCTCGTGTTACTCCTACCTGACAGCTTCTTGTTACTAATAGCAGCCTTGCTCCTAGTAGCGTCCGTGCTCCTAGAAGTGGGTTGACAATGGTTGAAAATGCGTGAAAGAGCCAAAAACATCGTATTGTGCATACTTGCTCTGTGCCTAAGTGTGGTTACTTAAACATCGTGTTGTGAGTTGCTTCGTTTTCAGTGTCTGCTTGTTCCTTTTGACATTTCGTTTCTCCTCAACCAACTCTTTCCAGGGCCTTTGGTCCCGCCAGAAGCGGCTTCTACAGGGTCAGTTGCAGAAAGCCTTTCGGCTCAGTATTGATTGTCAGTTGGCCGAAATATGCGCCAATGGGCCCATGAATAAGCAACAATAGGAAGGCAGCTGGGGGGCTCTTAAATATCATCAGGTGGTCAAAACATGAGCAAGTCAATTTGTGATGAAAGCAATCTTCTAAGGCAAAAATGAGGTCCATAGTGGTTCTCGGAGGACCTCTTTGAAACATACTTTTGAACGAGATACATCTGAACTTCTCCAAACACTTGGCTCGCGGCCGAGTTCAAGCACCCTATGAACAAACCATTCAAAGGTGCGGTCTTCCCTCCCAACATGGCTTTCTCTACCTCCAAATGCCGCCTCCCACAAGCTCCAAAGGCCAGCTGGGCGAGTCGGGTCTCGGTTGTTGCCGAAGAAGTTCTCGGAGGATCGACAAGACCAAGGGCGGTTGCCCCGAGGAGCCCATCGCGAACCAAATGAGGGGCTGCCCTGCCGCCATAAAACGGCGTCAGCCGGGAAGAGAAGGGGAGTCTCTCCATGTGTGGGGCAGTCCACACACACATGAATTTCCGAGAACACATATGCCTTTCAGTCGGCTATTTATTTACGATCGAGTGCATTTTCCTCTGTATCTCCTGCAAAGCTATAGTGAACTCAATCAACCGGCCATCCTTCCCCCTGCATCCCAGCCCGTGTCCCTTGCGGCCCTGGTGGGTCCTTCTTGGGTAGCCTTCTCTCTGAGCTCCATCACTTCCTGAGCGGAAAAGAGCTACAGGCCACGCTTCTAAGTATGATCGTATCATTCTGGGTATCTGATTCCTCTCTAGTTGTTGGTGATATAAAGGATATAAAGGATACTTCTAGTTGTTGGTACCATATCAGACTATTCCTCTCTAGTTGTTGAATTCTTTTCCTTTGTTTCTACGGTCATGAGTGATGTGTTTTCTCAACGGGAAAGTTGATCTGCGCGATATCTCTTGGTGGCAGCTTCGCAGATATCTATGGGAGCCCGGAAACAACGGAAAGAAAACACAGCCATGGTGGTGCGAGACGGATGGAAGAGAATTTCTGGCACCCACCTGGCCTACGCAAAGCGGGATGTCCCTAGTCAGCATTCAGGTCATGGGTGGTGGTGTTTGAGGTGAGCCAATCTTAGTCGAACCAAGAACAAAAGGATGAATTGCAAGGAGGAAAAACCAAATCAACCAAAACCCCTCTGCTAAACCTGATCGATTGGGATACCTGTAGAGGAAACCAAGTGGGACAGACTGTGGCCACTGACATCAGTTAAACCATTAGAATCTCCCAGAGCAGAATTTCTTGTGAGCCCACGGGTGGAGTGCTTAAACGAATCCGGGAGCAAATCCATCTGGTCACTGGAAACGAAACTGAGGCTCTGGTGGGATCTCCATCTTCAGCTTGCCATACAAAGGCCCGACATAAGTCACCTGCACCAACGACAACTTCCGGCCCCCATGGTGCTTGTCCTCTTGACAGGAACTTCTGCCCACACGCCACATATTCTTAGCATTGGCAAGCGGATAGAGGGAACATGATGCCTCCTTGGTCCCTTGCTGTCGGCTCAAACTTAATTGCTTACACCCAAGACCTGTGAGGGTAGAATGATTAGCAAGAGAAGAAGAAATAGCTGGTATGACCATACAATGGAAAACACACAAACTGCAGTGTGCGGCCATTTCTCATCCCAGTTTTTTGAGCAAAAGAGTAATTGGAAGAACCCGGGCTCAGGGAGGAAGGAATACTATGCCATATAAGCAAACTAACAAAAAAAAGGGACCTGGCAAGAAACCAAAATGATGAGTCTTGTCATGTCACTCAAGCAACGTGCCCATGTCAGCCTTTCTGGTTAGCGCACCTGAGGAGGAAGCTTCTTCTCATCCACTCCAACCCAGGAGGGAATATCGGAGATCACCGTATAGTCGCCTTCCTCGCAAAGACCACTCGAACCGGATGATACAAAGTGAGGTCGCAAGATTCAAAAGCGACAAACTTTCGTGGTCCGACCAATAGACCGACTCACAACATTTAGTTGTTTTATGTTATTTTACGTGTCTTCTTTCATTGGAAGAACAAATAAATGCATGGGGTCACACCTTTCCAGAATTTCCGGCAAAGGCGTTCAAAAGCACAAAAAGTTCAACAGGAGGCCAGCGTCCATCAAATCCCAAATCAAATGAATCCCAGTGATGTTCCACTCCCTTGCGGCAGCTTCGAATGGACCAGCGATGAAGGTCATTCGCTTCATCAACCATGATGCCACATGCGACCTCAACCACTCACCACTCACTGCCACTCACTCAGAAGCGCAAACTTGGAAGCTCAACATCAATGTGCACGAAGCTCATTCGGACGGGTCTACTGGGTATTTCTGGCCACAGGGCTCTTCAATAAAAGCCACAGACCCCCCACCCCAGAAAAACGACGGTACCCTGGGCGAATCGCGGTGCATCTCGTCAGGAGATCTCCAAATCACGGTGGCTTAAGCACTGAACGGGGTTCGGGGTGTTTCATGTCTTTAGAACCCAAACAAGCTCCTTTGGGAGTGGAATTGCAAACATAGAGTAGGTAGAAGAAAGAAAACTTGCTAACTGGTAATAGGACAATGCGCCTTTAAATGAGTGACACCTCTAGAATCTGATCTGTGATCTTTCCCTTGCTTGAGTGCCAAGCACCAGAAGAACAAGCGTGATCTGTCTGCATCTGGTGCACATTGTCATCCGAAGGCCCATTTTGGTGACCACTCCATCATCTGCAATCGAAGCCGCGATGGCCTTGGGCTCCGTGGCATATTCGCGCGTCATACTCCTGAGGCACCGAAACACGCGCGCGCGGATTGGCCTCTGGCCAATTTGAACTGGGTTGCTATAGAAAGTATTTCACACAGGAAACAGCCAAGTTAAGGCACCTTTTCCTTGAGCCAAATACGCGTCGTAAGGTCGATGTATATGTACAACTGTGGTGAAAAATAGAAAGGATGCAGTGGGAGGTTCAACTTCCTTCTAGATTGGGTAGCCTGCAGTGTATCCCGAATACTCGAGGATTGAATTGAAATGCTCGCTCCGCCAAGACCCGTCAAGTCCAGTAAACTTTATGTTTCTGGGCCGCAAGTTTCCTGTAAACTCAAACCAAAACCGCCAACAGTACTGTGCTCACGCGCGGCTCATATCCACAAAGAGCGGAAGTCTCGCAATGCGCGCAGAGATGCTGGCAGATAAGACGAAGAAGGCCGCGACCGCACTGGGCCGGATGGTTGAATACAAGTGAAGTGAAGAAGCGATCTGCTCGTGTAGCACTTCGGTGTAGGGATTTGAGAAGGACTCAAACTGATCTGCGGCGTAGATGGCCTGGAACAAGACGCTACTAGGGGCTCCTGGCATCGCTACTAGGAGCATTCATACTAGTAACAAGAAAGCTTGCGATTCTCTCGGTCTGTAGATGGCCTTACTTTGTTCTTCGGTCCACTGAGGTGACAGCGCATGATACCTCAGACTGCAACGGGAAGACGAACGGGAAGACGACTTCCCGGGGACGATCGGGCTTCGTTGGAGTCACAAAATAAAGGCAATTCTCGTGGCAGGAACAGTCGTGACCCAACATGAAAACTTGTAGCTCTTGTAGCTCTGATGAACTCTTGTAGCTCTTCTCCTGCATTGTCTCCCTGCTACCTGGTGACTGAAACTCTGATTGCTCCAGCAACTTTGCATAGGCCCCACCAAAGGATGCCAAGTGAACCTCAAAGAAGGGCTTCGCCGCATCAGCTACCAAGAGTGCATGTGTCACCATGGCCGCGTTAATGGCTTCGGTCATCAAGACCAAAACTGGTAGACCCTCTGCTTCGGTCGCTCGAGGAATCACCTTGTATTGCCTGAGGCAAATGATTTTGGGGCTCCAAAGTTGGGCAGTGGTTTTGGGCAAGAGCCTCACTTACATTCTTCCAGCCTCAAAAAAATGACCCCTTTCCCTCCAAGGAGATTAAGAATGAATGGTCGTGGTATGCAGGCTATCGATCTTTTTTCGCTGTTGGATCGCAAATACCTCCTGAAATGGTCAAACACACGCAAGTCCATGGCCCGAAGATAAACGAAGCCTTTTGAACCGCCAACAAATTCATATCAAAGAATTCTACGCTTACATACACCCGACGATACACAACTTAAAAGAACATCGACACACACCCACACAAAAACACCATGCTCCCAACAAAGCCTCCGCCCTTGTGGTGTTGTTGCTTTTCTTCCTTCTTCCTTCTTCCACCCACCACCCACAAGCCCTTTCCCTCCGGTCCGGTCGTCTCCGTCTTATCGGTCTTTGAGCGGCTCGGAGGTCTGCACGAGGACCTCATGGTGCCGTGGAGGTGAAGTCCCCAGATCCACCAGGAAGGACAGCAGACCGAGCCTTCAGAACCAGGCCATCGATCGGTCGACAGAAACACTTCGTTTTCCAAGTCGGCGTCAAATCAGGAAACATGTTACTAGAAGCGATGCAATTGTTACTACTAATATCAAAATGATCTCATTTGCAATCCCCAGATTCAAACATGCGAGCACCGCTACCAGCAGCGCACAGAGCCAGCGACACCACATGGCCGACACAACAATGAGGTGGAGTGAAATTGGAAGCTAAGATGTCACACGCACTAAAGGACACAGCTGCCGTCATCTTGCAAACTGCCAGTGAGTTGTTCTCTTAGCAACTGGTGCGGAGAGTAAACACTTTGACACAAATCATGGCTTCTTGGTGGTCACTCGAAGCGTGTAACAGTTTTTCCAAACGATGAGACTTGAACATAGAAGCAGCTTTCTTGAGCCTGCGGCACTCTGGAAGCAAATGGCTTGCAACTCGGTTCAGCTCGAATGCGGCATTCCAAAGTCACCAAGGAGAGGATTCCATTTGCTGTGATGCAGGATAGGCTTCGCATTCCAAGGCATGACTGATACGTCCATGACCACATCACCTCTCATCACCATCATCACTCTCAACCGCGAGGCATTTTCGTTGGGATGAAACGTAGCAGCTTTGGTAGAGTTTTTCTGTGACGACACTACTCGCGCCGGCTGCTTTTTGGATCTCTGCCAAAGACATCATGCCAAACGCCTTTTGACAATTGGCATTCCGCGCTACACATTTCGGTGAATCTCCCGTTCTCGGGTCGCCTGGAGGGAAGCACCGTGTCAGAAAAGCAATCAAAGCAAATGAATTGCAATGATGATCCACCACAAGAGAGGATCTCTGGTGTTCTGCAATGACACACCTTGAACCATCTTCAACCCAGAAAAAGATTCACGCAGGAGCTGGTGTCCTGACCCTCATAGTCTCGGGAACCGTCATTGCCTTTTGGCAAGCGTTGAGAAATTCCACAACCTTGAGAAGAGCTCTTAGCTGAAAGTCTAAGAGGTTTTGGATGGTTCTCGTAAATCTCTGAATGAATCGTCACGGGTTGATAGCTTTTGATACGAATTGGCTTCGTGACCTTGAACCACAGTTGGATTCGAATCGATCCCTCTTTTGTGTTCATGGCCAGCATGGGATCTTGATCCTCAACTATCTTTTTCGTTTTGCGTAGGAACTCAGAAGGTGTGACCAATCTTCCGATCCAAAGCAGAAACTCCAACTAGACTGACTACGTAGCTCAAGAACTACAGTAGTAATGGCTTCAAACCAAAAAAGCTGCTGACCTATTCAAACTATCACTAAAGACTAACAATCTAGAATACCTGCCACTTTGGCTCTTCTCAGGCACAAAACGAGTCAGCAAAACACTGCCTCCGCCAAAACACGGGCCATTTTTGTAACCGGTGTCGTCGCAAAATTAAAGAAAAGCGTATTCTGCGAATCTGCTCCGCTCAATCCCACTGCGCCAAACGGGCCCCACCGCGGCCAGAGGGAACAACAAAGGCTGCGATGGTTGGAGTCTTTCGGAGGGACCATGCCATTGGGACTAGTAGCGATGCCCTTGTTACAATTGCTGTACGAGCACAACACCATTAGAGTGTTGGTTTCTTCCGATTTGGCTGATCTCCACGCCTATCTTCACTGATTGGCTGCCAGCCAGAAACGACCAATGACCTGTTTCGAGGGCTTCGTTTTTCTTTCCTACTCCGAGAAAAACTCACATGGAAGTCGAGTGGAAAACCACCACCTGTTTGGAAAAGGGTCTTCGCGAAAATTACCACTTCCATGAGGATTTCACGGGGTGTATGCTTAGGGAAAGGTCTATTTTTGGTGACTGGGTGGGTGTTTGATATGCCAACTAGTACAATTGAAGCGGTGAGGCAATCAACTGTTTTGAGTGCCTTTGTTTTGCTACTCTCGAAAATCTCCAGAAATTGGCCAAACTCTCTTTTTTGTGTTCCCGCTGACCAATACATACATGGTAGGTGACTGGGAGCGTTACATGGAGAACATGAAGGACAGTGCTACGGGCACAGCTCCCGACGAAGAACGTTCGACGCACCAGGGAACAGGACACCTATCTGATGCCGCCTATGCCTGCAATGAGCTATCTGATGGACCTCCAAATCAAGTGAAATACGCAGGGAGGGGGGATGTTCAGGCGTTTCCGGTGGTTGTTTTTTGAACCATTTGTTCAGGCTGTTGCTTTTAAAGCGTTTCCGGTCTTAGGACTTGCCGCCTTCTGTCTGCCCGAGACCTGTCAGCTGTTAGGGCCCGTTCTCAGCTCGTTCCACTGCGTGAGCCTGGTCGAGACGTTGCTTCGCACGGATTTGATGGGTTGAGGGGATGAACATCCTGGGGAGCAGTATCTGAGTATCTTATATCTTCCCCATTTGTTGAGTCATAGTAACGAGTTGCAGGATCAACACCAGGGTTTCTGACCAAAACAATGTGATCAGGTCGTCCATCCTTTTGGCAGAAAAGGACGCTCACTATCCCCTCGATGCACCGAACAAACACATGCCGTTTGCTGCGGCTCACCCTGGACCAACGAAAAAGATATATCAAACACATCGTGACAGATTGTCACCAACCCACTGATCAACCACACAGTCACCATCCCGGCCAACCCACGAGAAAAACCCATGTCTTCGCCTCCTTCACCTTTCTCCTGCCTATAGTGACTCTTTCTCAAAGAAAACGAGCATTCCCCTGGGAGCATTCCCCTTGATGGAGCTTGCTTGACCTAGGTCGTCCTCGGGCGGGGCCTTGATGTGCTTGAAGGTGGACGAGTTGAAGACGCGCTGCACATAGGACGAGGCCTCGACGCCATGGTGCAGCATCTGCAAGATCTCCTCGAAGAGGACCTCTACAGACCGAGCGACCAGTCCATTGGTCAATTGGGCGCGGTTGATAGACTAATTTCCATTGGTCAATTTCAGATTACTATTGGAGAACCACAGCTGAAACTTGAAGTCAGCAAGAAACATGGAGTCAGCCAAACACAGCTGAAACATGGACCATTTGACGACAATCCCAGTCCATGAAGGTAGTTGCTTGCTCAACCGGGCGAGTTCCATCCCAGCATGAAACATATAAAACCTGCAAAGGACAGCGGCAAAAGCGTATGGAGCTACAAAGTGTTGCTCCGAAATGCGAAATGTCCGAAATGTTTGTCCTTCATCCTGGAAACCTGGACCTTTCAATCCGAAGACTTCGGGTGCTACCGTAGCCAGTGCTACCTATCAATCTGCCTCAAACACGCGGTGTGCAAGGCTCCTTAAGTGTTCCGATCATAGGGTACGGTTTCCATCTCTCCCAAACTGCGGGTCACCGCAATTCCATCCAACTCCTGCCACCTTCAACCAAATGCACCGGCACCCAAGCATGTCTCCCCCAAATTGAACCTTCGTCTCCTATAAAAGCACACCCCAGTGTGGGTCGCTTACGCCCTGGTTCCTTTAGCCTGTAGAGGGCAAGGGGGGCCGACCATGGCCCTCCCCGCGTTTGGTTCCGACCCAGGGGGACTTCACTCGTCGCGTCGCTTCACTAAACTTAATTAAACTTAATTATGCATTCTTGTTACTAGTAGCGATGCACATGTTACTAGAAGCGATGCACTTGTTTCTAATAGCTTCTTGTTACTACTACTAAGGCACTTGTTACTAGTAGCGATGCACATGTTACTAGAAGCGATGCACTTGTTCCTAGTAGCTTCTTGTTTCTATTTCTTGTTTCTATTAGCTTCTTGTTACTAGTAGCCAGGCACTTGTTACTAGAAGCGATGCCCTTTGCTCCTAGTAGCGTCCGATTGCTCCTACCCCCCCCGGAGAAAAATCGGTGCCTCGATCTTGGTCTCGAGGCGCCACACGTCCAAGGCCTTGGCGCCGCCCTTGAGCCGCGAGGAGCCCTCGATGAACCTCGGAGTCGACACACGACACGGAAAGAGCGGACGCAGGAGAAGAACGAGGATGGGAGGTGAGGCTCTGAGGGATCTGAAGATTTCTGAGACCAAGCTACTAGCGATGGCCTCCAACCTAGCGATGTAAGTCAACAGTTCAACAGCTCCTCTGGCGTTTTCTCCTTTTTGCACTTGCTTCATCGGTTTATCTGACCTCTGACCCTCCCGCTTTCGCCAAGACACTCAGTCAAGGTGATTTGGCCATCGCCATTGTCCTGCGCAAGGATCATCATCAAAAAAAAGAGAGCAATTCTTTGGCTTGATTAGACAATGTAAAACCTATTTCACACCGAAGTGCTGTAGATGAACACTCAAGTGGTTACAAATACTTCCCATTCTTGTGGTGGTAACTTTATGATTTTAAGATCGATTCACAAGTCTTGTTGAAAACATGGTGGTGGCAAAGAGTGCATCCCGATTGAAATTAACAGTGGGAACTGCTACAACATTATATTGACCGTTACTTAGCCTTTTTGGAGACAACAGCCTCACAGATGAAACTAGTTTCTTGATGTTTCTTCACTGGAAAACGACTGAAGACAATGCCTCCCGAATCTCTACTGAGATCTCTTTATGTTTATTCAAGAACCTCTCTGATCAAAGCAAGCCTCTTTTCACTTCAAGTAAGTGTCCCAAAACATCTAGGAACCAAATTATTAGTGCGAGCGCTTCCTGGAAGAAGCACGAGAAATCCTGCGACGTAGGCAGTAGCTTAAGTGGCTAGGAGCTTACTCACTTAATTAAGGCCGGGCCCAAAAAAAGAGAAAGAACAAAGAAAGACTCGGTCCAGAAACTCGAAGAGGCTCAAGAGGTCATGGTATTCCAACCTATCGCTTTCGCTGACCGACATCGGCCATGGCGAATGACCGACATGGGTTGGCAGGTTGTCATGATTGCTGATTGCCACGTATATGTGTATCGCTAGTAGGTTGGAGGCCATCGCTATTATGTTTTTCGAAAGAATGAACAGGGTATCACGTGGCAGCACGGATAAATTTTGATACCGCCGATACCCCTCAGTTTTCCACAGAATGCCCTGTTCGCAGAAGTCCTCAGGGCTGTACCCCTGTTTACTTTGGAGAAGCCACCGGAATTGCAGCTAGGAGACTCCAGTTGGCTCATCCAGAATTTGAGCTTGGGAGACGTCACCTCGGTGCCAAACGTCCTAGCTGCGAAAAGAAAAGGCCCTAGTAGCTTTCTTTGCTAGTAATTTAAATTACAAGCTTCTTGTTACTAGTAGTAAGGCACTTGTTTCTACTAGCTTCTTGTTACTAGAATTGGATGGCATAGCCCCGAAAGGATGACCCCGAAAGGAGAGTTGGGTCCTACGACCCGACCCAGAGGTTCCGACCTTGGGAAGTCCTCTTCCCCGACGGTCACCATTGACGGCTTTCACCGTTTTTCATGTCTTTGTCCCGCGTTCGTCACCATTTTGGAACTGGTCATGCTATTTGGACAGGTGAAACTCAGCAGGTTTGCAGGCAGTCGCATCGTCTTCGGAGTCATGGACGAAACATGGATGTCCATGTCCATCTGAGGACGAAACTGATGACGTCCTACAGCCTTACGTTTAATCAGTACATAGCGAGGCTCAGTTTTTGGAACTCAGCCACATCCAGAAGTACCAACTGAATCTGTAAACGCTTGTGAGCATTTCATTGCTTTAAATCTCAGGTGGTGCAAATGAACTCTTCTCTTCCACCCGCACTCCTATCTCTCCAAGAACCACATCCAATCATCTTCTGGTATTCCAAACTCTGTGCTCAGCATGCCACGGACAAGAACGATAAGAACATCAAGTTCCCCCAAAACATCTTGGAACCAAATCATTGAGGTTGGAGGCCATCGCTACTAGTAACAAGAAGCTTACTAGTATGTCTTTGAAGCTACTAGTTAAGTTTCCCGAAAAATCTAGGAACCAAATCATCAAGGCTCAGAGGTTGCTTCCACAAGCACTACGGCCAATTCCCCTCCTCTTCTCACTCCTCCCTCCTCCCTCCTCCCCCCCGGCCCCCCCCCCCCCAAAAAGAAACCCTTGGCGAACTTCGTTGGAAGAACAGGTCGCCAACTTCGAGAACTCCTCCAGACTGATTGCTCCATCACAGCTGTCGTCCATCGTCTGGAAGAGCTTCCGGACCTTTCGGGTGTACCTCGACCAACACACAGCGGCTTCGGCTTCACCCGGTGGTGGGGGGGCCCCAGAACCCCCCTCCGGGTGAGAGCGAACCGCTTTTTGACACCGGAGTTGGAGGCTAAGCCTCACCTAAAGACGAAAGAGAGCCATGATTGATAACTAGCACATTGTAGATCATAAACACATTTAAAACCCACTTTTAGGATGTTCACAATTTTTTCTTAGGATTGGTCCGCTCTTCACCTCATCCACCTCAATTCCGATGACACGGTCCCTTTCAAGTACTACCTATTGCAATTGACTAGCAGCGTGGCACTTGTTTCTAATAGCGTCCTTGTTACTACTAGTAAGGCACTTGTTCCTAGTAGCGTGGCACTTGTTATCTTCCTCTTTTGTTTTCTTTCTTTCCTTTATGTGCCTTTTTGAGCCTGCAGATTCTCTGTTGAAAACTGATGTGGAATGGAGCTTCCCGAAGAGGACGAGCCAAACGCATCAATCTGAGGTTGGCACGACCGCGACACTGACCCAATTTCCTTCAAGTTTGGTGGAGCTTCGCATCTAGACTGCAATACTTTCTGTGACAAGCTTTGCCCACCAATCCCACAAAGCCATACGAACGAGAAACACTGCGAAAAAGCAAACGCCTGCAGGCCACTAGATCTCATTCTTGGAGCCAAGCCTAGTTGACTGTTACTAGAAGCGATGCACTTGTTTCTACTAGCTTCTTGTTTCTAGTAGCGATGCACTTGTTCCTAGTAGCGTCCTTTGCTCCTACTCCCCCCCGCGCGCGCGCGCGCGCGCGAAAAGGTCCTAGTAGCCTTCTGTACTAGTATTTTTAATTTGATTCTAATTAGATACTAATTTAATTAAATTCTAATTAAATACTAAATAAAAAATAATAGCTTCTACTAGCTTCTTGTTTCTACTAGTAAGGCACTTGTTCCTAGTAGCGATGCACTTGTTACTACGCGTCCAAGAAGCATACTGATATCTCTCTCCTTCTGCTTGAAGGCCAATTCTTCATCTGAGCTGGCTGTCTTCATCGTCTGTTGGACCTGGTGCGCCCGGTTCCCGGTCCGTCCTTCGTGTCGAAAGGGTTCAGTGCTGAGGGCCAGATTCGCTAGGAACGTAGCGAACGAAGCTACGAACGTAGAAATGCCCGTAGCTACTAGTAGTGTCCTTGCTTCTAGTAGTAAGGCCAGGAGCCCCTAGTAGCTTCTAGCTACTAGTAGAAATGCCACGGAATTACGAGTAGCTTCTGGTTCCTTGTAGTGCCAGGAGCTACTAGTAGCGATGACCTTGTTACTAGGCTTGTAGATTCATTGAGGGTTCGCAACCCCAAACTCCTGTCAAGTTGGATGAGAATTGGGCAACTCTAGTCTTCTAGCTACGCTGTGAAACTGGCAGGGCGATCTTTCTGAAACACATCCTTGAGATCAACGCCTCAGCTACCGGAGAGTGGATCAACTGCAAGCACCTTCACCTGTAGGAGACCTTCTCCTGCCAAAAAGCCCTACATTCAAAGAGAACTTGTCCATCGTATGAGCCAAGGCACGAAAACTGCATTCACCACGTTGAGCCTCAAAGCTTGGGTTGCCAAATGATCACGAACAAGGGAAATACCATATGCCAGGAGATGCATCGATTGTTTCAAAATGCAAAGACCGGGCTGGCAGGTTCAAAGCGGACACTCTCAACTCCCTGAAAAGGACACTGTTTTGGCAGTCACCCACAATTAGCATTCTCTGGATAGGTCTTCCAGTATTCCTCACTTAAAGGGTTTGCTAGTTTTGACACTCGTCTCTCCCCACGTCCCATCTTTCACACATCACAACGAACATGTTCCACGAAAATGTCCTTTGCTTCGAACAGTGCTTTTGGACTTTCCTGCCAGATGCCTGTAGGTAGGGGACCAGTACGGACCAGTTCCTTCGCTAGGGCACCGCTAGGGCACTCAAACAGCATGCATAAGGGCTGTGTCCATGAACCTTGGCTTCGCTGCCTCCAAGGCGCACGGCGAAGCCGATGATGCAGCGGTACACCAAAAAGAAGAGCGAGAACCACTCGCTGACGTGGTCCACGAGTGCACGACAGGGAGGGCTCCAGTTCGCAAAAAGTATCTCCTTGGGAAATTTACGGCAGAATGGCCTCTGCGCTCCGCCCTTGAGGGCCGTTGGGGTCAAGGTTGAGAGAAAACCCCGGCCAGAATGGAATAAACAAATAAATACATTAAAAATAAATATATATATATATGTATACATACTACCTGAGTGAAGGTTCCAACCCAAATGAAACAATCACCACTCCCAGGACAGTGCGCAACTGAGAGATTAGCAAATCAATATGTGAACGTTGAACAATCACACATAACCTGCCAATCTCTGAGGATTTTTAGTCTGCAATGCCCAAATGGATGATAAGTGCCTTCACACTTCAAGTGCTGGTGCGGTCTATCTGTTCGACATGCATACATTCAAACTAAAATGAAGTGGGATGGGATAGGATCCCCCCTTACGCATCATTTTCTTTCAACAAACATCTGCTGGAGGGAGACTTTCTTGCCTTGTCAGCTTTCACCAGAACACTTCCGAGTCGACTCGGCTTGGAAGTGATCTGATCGACCAGACCTTGGCAGGACTACACTTGTTTTGCCGCTTGGTGGCTTCAACCCACCCGAAACGCGTCATTCGGATTCATCGTGTCAGGTAAAGAACCATGGTTGAACATCCAAGATTGTTGAACGCATTGTGTCGTTCCTTTGAAAAACCATGTTTTTTTTTTTTCCGGCTTAGGCTGGATGACTTCACAACTGGGGTGGACGACAGGGCCGTGCCCTTCGCCCGGTGCGAACCCAACTCTTCTCGGTTCAGCTTCGAACATGGTCAGGAAAGTCCGGGAGAAGGTCCCGTAGTACCTGCGCCGGGCGTGGTCAGCGGGCATGGCTCACTGGTGAGGTTGAAATTGGTTGCTTGATGTTCACTTGGTGATGTTTGGATTCCAAAGAGGAATCACAAGAGACACCCACGTGGATACCAAAAGAACCCCCAAAGAAAAGCACACAGCTAGCTGACTGATGAGGGGATTTCTTCCGGCCTTTTCGACCTTTCTTTTTAGCGAATGCATCGGTCCCCCATCGATCCCATCTCCGAAGAACGCTCCGTTTCCGAACTCCCGGGACCGAGGTTTCGGGTGGACTGCGTAAGCTGAACGATGACGCAATGGACGAAGAAGAAGAACTGTACTACTAGCTTCTTGTTACTACTAGTAAGGCACTTGTTACTAGAAGCGATGCACTTGTTACTACTTCCTCTTCTTTACGTAACTTGTTTCTTTGATTTGGATCTGAAGGACTTTGGACTCACTTCGTCTCACTTTGTCTCTTCAAGTCTTTTCTCATGTGGATAAACGGCGCCTATAGACTTCTTCGCGCTTGCTGAGATCCTGGTTCAGGTCATTCACGTACTCGCGGCAAAGGGTGCTCACCACCATGCCAGCAACGCATTGCAGGAAGGTCAGCAAACAAAACGTCCAAAACCTGGCGCTGGGCGCGCAGCTGAATCCCGAACCGCGGGCAGGAGGTGAAGTATGAGAGCAACAGTTTCAGGATTTGGCCTCACATAGGGGGGCGTGATTTTGGATTAGATGGTCCTTCGCAAACCCTTCAGCAGAGTGGGTCCCTATACTGATCATGGGTGGCTCGCTTGACCTGGCTTGAGGGATCCGTTGTGGCTTGGGGTGACCCATTTTTACGACGCCAAATCACTCCACTTGCCCGACATCCTCTCAACCATCGGGTACGATCATCTTGCAACGTCGTTACAGGCGTGTTGATGTACATGCGTTGGGGCCAAAAGGATAGTGGTGTGAGTGTCTGATCTCCAAGACATGTGGAACCCCGCCCATTTGATGCCTCAAACAAGCTCCTTCCCCTCAAACCGACCATCGAAACACAGCAAGCAAATGCTCCAAGAGCCATTACATTCCATCTGAGTCCTTTCAGGCATACTGATATCTCTGCCGTTCCATTAGCTGGATTTTGGCTTGAAGGAGTCTAAACAGGATGGCACACAACAAACGTAGGAAGGGTAAATAAAGCAGGCATGTTCAGCAGTACTGCAAGTTCACAGCACAGAACCATCAGTTCTGTACTTTTCCAGGTTCATCTACTGTACTTGTGCCATTGTTCGAAAGCAGCCTCGACCTGCCCCGGGTGCTTCTGAGTTGCAACATGTCAAGGGAGGCGGAGAGGCACTTGATCAACAGCTGAAGTGATGATAAAACGCTGGTCATAGTGACCATCCGAAGGGCACGCGCCAACTTGCCTAAGAACGGGAGCGATCTGCGGAGCGTCTAGCTGACCAATGGAACCTGGTGAGTCTGCGTAGACAGAGAACGTCTCTTGGTCATGAATATTTTGGTGCATGATCACATCTGCAAGAACTTAGGCGCCAATCTAGTAGTAGTAGTAGTAGTAGCAGCTCATCAGCAGCATCGGTTTGGCACAGTGCAATGCCGTCTGTTCCTGCGTGATTCACATCCAGCTTTTGGTGCGACTGGTCGGGGGTGACAGGTGACACCAAGCAGGCGACCAGTCGAGGGAGTTTCCCCGAGGAAGGTCCAGGAGGACATGAACGGCGCTGAATGGCTTGGAGGCCTTGCTGCAAAGTCATGAACTTGCTGCAGTGAATCTCCTGCTTGACCTGGACCCCTTTTGCTTGACCAAACATGCTGGACAGGGTCTTCTGGAAACGGACATCAGCACAGGAAGCTTTCCTCCAATCCTCCGGATGGCACCCGTGGTGGATTTACAAAGGATTCATGAAAGAATTTCGGCACAAACGAAACAGGACACCTGAACAGATATGAAAACGCCCGTTGTTTATAAGGGAAACATGTCGTCCGTTTTGCTCCCCAGCTCTTCGCATGTCAAATGTGACCTCCAAAAGACTGTCGTCGTCCGTGAAGCCAAGGGCCCTAGACTTCCCCAAATTACAGTAAATTACTCGATGCACACGACGAGAACAACATTTTTATACAGAAATACGTCGACAATACATGCAAACCCCGGGTTTTTGGGCCAAACACATGGCCGCATCGGAGGAAACATGCCCAGGACATTTCCACAACATGCTATCAGTCCACGTCCGTTTCCTGGGTCCGAAACACATTTGCCGGCGACGACATCGCCAACTCCGCTTCCGAGGTGCCAATCCGCAACAACCGAAACAAAGTAGGATTCCTTGGAATGCTTCATGGATCGATTCCGACGGGACAAAAAGCAGGCGATGAGTGACTTGACAGGAAGAAGGAAGCATGCGGCGCTAGAAGCATTTTCATCTTCGATTTGCTGTGAAACTTGAGAAGCAAGTCTGACTTGTAGCTATTTACCTCAGAACCAACCAACCAAGCCACAAATCTGTGATCGCCCCCTGTCCCGTCACAGCCAGGGTTCATAGGTAAGACCAATGCCACGAAGGCCACTTCGATCAATGAAGTCAAGGTCACTAGGACGTCCACATAGTTCATGCACACCCTGGAAAAGCTCGCGCTCGCGGAATGGCGCTCGATTGCAATGGGCTCGACTTCTATGATCAGGCCTTCTTCCATACAGTCATTAACATGCCAATAACGATCGCTTAGTCATGGTTCCATACGATGTTCATCATGTCCTACACTATTTTTGCAATGATTTGTCAGTGGCATCAAGGTAGACCCATGGAGTCACACTCGGTTTCTCAGCTGCTTATCTCACCCGCAACCTCCTTTCTCCCAGTGCTAACCTTTGTTCACATCTTTGTATCTAGCAGCTAGCACGAGAGCCACTTGCAACCTGCCATTCAAAAGCAGGTCACCCTAGAACAGATCGGTCAACCACATCACTAGATGTGCTTGGTCAATCACCCTGTCAACATCTGGGTCGAAAATGCTGTGCCTCCAAAATTTTCCTTGGAGAACAATGATGCGAAAGAACACGTCCACAGTAAAGATGGTGGTGAAAGCCATGTCGCCTTGAGAAGCTCCAGAGACCGGACGGGCCCGTTGAGGTGGCGGCAGTGGGACACGGCAGCAAACAAAACATGTGGTGCAAAAGGTGTGAAGGACCATCTTGGCGACGAATCTCTTCTCAAGGCGTCTCTGTGAGAATCTTGATAACTATCAACAATTGCCCCCCAAAAAGAAAGAGCAATCCAATACAAAACCATTGCCTCAATGCTGCAACATGCATTTTAAGGCAGCTGATCACAGCTGAGTCCGGCGCGTTGTTCCCATCGGACTCGGGATCCCCAAACACCCCAACCGCCGAACGCAGCTCCAGCACGCTCGCCCCAAAAAGGCCATCTGGAGCAACATCAACCAACACCACACAACACCCTCTGACCTCACCAATTCCCATGCATTATCATACCATGATCACACCATCACACCGCTCTCATCCGTCCTCGGTTATTGGGGACAACAAAGCCGGGCGCTCTGCCCGTCTCGTCTCACGGTCTCGTCTCGTCTCGTCTCGTCTCGTCGTCGTCGTCTTCCCTTTCGTCGACCAAGGTGCCGATCCAAAAGATTTGCTCCCAGACCGGCCAGGACTCCTCCGAGACGATGGAGCTTGGGAAGATCCCTGCGAGGATCGTCGGCACCGACGGGAGGAGGAGGCCGGAGAGGCACCGGAGAGGTCCGGTCCTCACCCGGTGCTTGACCGGAGCACATTGTGGAGGTTTTGCGGAAAGGGGGTCATCAAAGGAGCTAGGAACTGAAAAGAAGGGTTACTTACTTGTTACCTAGCTAGAGAACAAAACAGGGAGATGGGAAGTTCAAAGATTCATTTGATTCAAAAACTAAAAACTAGAATGCAGGGAAACAGAATCTTTGGCTATTTACCCACAAAGTGTTTCAGGCCCTCATGAAAGCAGAAAGACCGCAATTTGCCGGTGAGGCACATTTCCTGGGTAGGAAAGCCTCCAAAGCAACGTGCCACCTGAACACTTTAAAGAGACCACACTTACCTTGGCTTACTGGTGCTCTTGTTTTTTCAACACAGCGTGGATGAGCAAATTGAGCGAAATCCCACCTGGGACCACCCACTCTCTTCCCCGGAGGATTCGACCCCCTACCACCGACGCTCCACGCGTGCGCCTAAGCGATACCCGGTGAGCGAACCGTAGAACTGCAATTCCAGGGCCATCCACAAGACATGCACCTGAGAAGTTGTGCCAAAAGCCAGGTGGATCATAGGTTACCCAGCTATGGAGCTGCTGCGAGCTGTGCACCAAATGGAAGTGAACAAAAAATTGCATCGTTTTGAATGCTAAGTTGCGCGAAGAATTCTTCTACTAAAACTGACCCGCCGAATCTTCTCTCTCACGTGACTGGTGCTCTGAGTTCCTGCGGGGCTGGTTGTTCTATTTCCTTTGTTTGCCTCCCTGAGATGTTTTGTCGATTTTATGCTTTTGATTGCACCTCCGCATTTTTTTGGATATTCTTACCTTCGACGCTCCAAAAAAGGAATCAAGCTGCCGCTTGCTTGTTCTCCGTTGGGACCACGCTCCCCTTGCACTCAGTGAGAACGGATCTTGGCCGTGAGCGACGTGGCCGCACCGTTTTTACTTCACTGAGCACTCAACCGCAAGGAGACCGAGGAATAGGGAAATCCCAATGCTCTCCTGGTAGGCCTACCTCGGTGTCCCTATGTCTGGTTGTGGCCTAGCCAGCGAGGCTGCGAGAACGGGCCCCAAGAAAAAATAAATCGAACACGAGGCGTGCATTTGTTGGCTCCCATGCAGCGCATGAGGGAGAACTCAAGTCTGTTTGGACCATCGGCCAGGTTAGACTTGGACTCCACTCGATCGATGTAGAGATCTGTGCCAGCTCTCGCAGCTAAGGTCCAGTATTCACCAACAAGTTGATAGGAATCTTGCTTTGGGGAATATCCTCGGACCAAATTGGCGGCTGCGGAATCGTTGTCGACGAAATGAATCACCTGCCGACCCTGCAGCATGTCCTCCCAAGTACTCAAGGCGGCAGGGGCAGCTAAGAGCTCAAGCTGTCCCATGTAGGATTCCTTTGGGATGCATTGGTCCACCAGCTCCTGGGGGACGATCTGCTTTTGTAGCCATCACCGTGGACGTTAAACGCCTCTTCAAGGTCATGCTGACCGGAAGCTGCCCAATTCGCTGCGCACGTTGGTGAGCCACCTGCCAGCATTCAGCATCAACAGGAGACGGGCCGCAACCCCCAAATGGTGATGGTCTGCTGAGGTTGAAGACCCTGAGCCGCCAGGTCCTCGTCATGCTGCGGGGTCCGACCCCAGAACTGACTCTTTGTCGGCTGCGTTCTCAGCCGTCCGAGAGCTTCAAAGCGACGCCACGTAGCCAACCAAAAATGCAAGTCTTGAATGGAGGAGCACAAAGCACTGCGGTCATCCATGTAGGTAACCTGCAACATCTGAGGATGGGTAGCATGAATACATCGAATCACCGGCGCCAGCAACAAAGCCAAGCAATAGGGACTCCAAGGGCCTCCCTGCAACAATGCCGGTGAGTCACGGATGGGTTGTTCAGCCACATAGCCCGCAAAGGTGCACCCTCGCACTTGTTGCGACCAACTGGCTTGCAGAGCACGAATAATGCCGGGAACCCCGGCTTTGTCCAAAAGGTAGGGTACACCAGACCAATCGATGCTGTCAAAGGCCTTTTGAAAGTTTAGGGAAGCGGCATAGTTCAGCTGAGCCGTTTGAGGGGAGAGAAGATGTCCAAGAGAGTGCAGTCTATAGCAGGGGTTTGGGTTAGCTCAGCTTACCATGGTGGTTTAGCTAGAGCTAGCAATTTTCCAAGAATCATCTATCCGCAGCATCCTCAGACTTAGCCCTGGAAACCTCATTCTATCCGTTCTATGGCAGGGCTTTACTGCTTTTACCACATCCAGCCAAGATGGGTCTGTCATTGACCAGTCTTGTAACGAAGAGTCCATCCTGCGCCAACCATTTCTATTTGTCTGCGAGACCAGTGACTAGAGAAACCAAAGCCCTTCCATCGTCTTGCCAGTGTGGGGTGCTATTCTCCAGCTTGGCCAAAGTACTTTACAAAGGGCACAAACATGACAAAGCTAGCTACTGATCATTCGCACACACACATTCACACACTCAGATCCTTTTGGAACCTCCTGCACCCTTTTGGTGGGCCTTTCGTGTCCGGACCGACCGCCACTGCCTCCACCTCCGCCCGGTCCGAGGGACGCAAAGCAGGGAGGTCACCAAGACCTCGAATCGACTGGATTGGAGCCTCAGCGACGGGACGCGGGACGCGACGGGACGCGACGTGTGCGGGGGGGAGGTTTAGGAGAGGGAGCCCTGTTTTTGAGGAAAACGGAGCAAGCAAGACGTAGAGGAAATGGGATTGGATCGCAGAATCAAACGGGTCGGCTTGTTTTGGTCTGGGGTACTGGAAGTCAGCCCACCAGCTCGATTTAGTCGTTTGAGGTACAATATATAAATTGATATGTGACCTGGATGGAAGCTCTTGCCATCTTTTAAGACACACGTGGCTACTTTAGCTTTGTGCACAGTGGCTAATCGATTGGTATACACTTTGTGGTAATGATCGAAAGCCAAACAGTTCCCATGCTTTCATGTCGGTTGCGTCACAGGGTGAGACTGGCACCATTTAAAATAAACCCATCAAAGCACCATATCATGGTGCTTCTCATAGCAGCTATGAAAAGGCTTGGTGGATTCTCATCCCAACATCCTGTCCGAGAAAACGGTGTCGTCTGTGGGTCACAGTCCACCCGACCTGGGTGGTTCGTATTTTCTTAAACGAACCACCCAGGTGCAGAGACTTCGGATGCCACTTCAAGTTCGGTGCATCACCAGCCTTGTCTTCTCTTCGGTGTTTTCTTCGGAACAGCCGAGGCACCAGCTACGCAGCTGCGCTAGCCGGTGCCCAGCATCGAAGCTGGGCTCGCGGTTGCAGCGGGACTTGAGCTCGTCGTCCTTCCTGAGAACTCGTGAAAACGATGGAGCGATCTAGACAAAACGAGAAGAATACTTTCACCTTCTTGCCAAGGAGTGTCGACTTTTTCGAACAAGACTGAAACTCATGTGTTTCATCTCTCATTTTTGTCCGCCCACCCGACAGCTGGAGAGGCAGGAAGCTTTGGTTCTGACAGCCTGCCCTTATTTGTTGGTGCAGCCACACCTTTCTGCAGGAAAACCCAATCTGTTTACCCAAGTGGAACCAAAATTAGCAGTTGAAAAGAACATGACAAACATGGTGAACTGTAGCGGCCCTGGGCATGGCCTCTACAGCCCGGACTTTACCTTCTTGGGAGTGCTAGGTGAGAATAAAAGCTGACCAACATCTCTGTTCCTTCGCCTACCTCATATCTACTCTGCAGCTCCGACTTGGCCAAGCTTCATCTGCTGCAGCATATCTTCCAACATCTGATTCCTCAGAGACGTCTCGTTTGCACCGATAGAGTCATGTACGTCTCCTGTCGAACCTGAAAGCGTCGCCCACCTGCCAAAACCTGACTTCACCTTAGGGTCCTCACATCGCACCTGCTGCTACGTACGCTGGTTTTGAGGGAGCAAAGGAGCCCGTTTTGTCCCTTTCCGTTGGTAGAATCTCCATAAATTCTTCCAAGTGCCTCAAGTCTCGTGCTGGTTGTCCTCTCATCCAACTGGGCATAGATAGTTTGAACTCTCAACTCCAGTCCAGCAAAGAGTCCCAGTCCCGCCTTCAAGTCATGACTCCCTCAGCTTCGCTGGACAATTAAAGGTTCACCTGTTTCCACTTCCTGTTCAGTGAGGAAACCAATTCCCAAAAAGGGTTAACAGTTATCCACTGAGTAGGTAGGGAACGTTGTTTTTTTTTCTCCCACACCAAAAACGTCCAACACCTCTTCTCCGCATTTCCTGTGTCTTCTGCCAAAGTGCCCGAAGAGGGGGTTCTCGACCGGCTTCTGATCCTCCAGCTTGTCCAAGACCTGCCGTGTCTGTCTCACGACATGAAGCTGGAAAAGCCCTGCCAGGTTCCCACCGGGTTCCCGGATATGGTTGTGCTTCTTCCCCAACCGATGCGAAATACGCTCTGGTTGTGTTGCTCTTGCGATAATGGCTGGGCATCACATCTTCCACTTGGGCGACATGGGCTTCATCTGCTGTCCTCCAGGTGTCACTCCTCTGGTCATAGGGTGGTCTGATCATGTTTGATCCAAACGATGGCAAACATGGAGAACAAATGCTAGCTGCTAGAGGAAAGTCGTCCGGAAGGGGGTGGAAAACCGCTCGAGCGGACAGCTTCTGGACACCGACGCCCTGAAACCATTGTCAAAGTTCAGAGGGTTGTGGTGATGAGACTCCGCAAATGAGATTGTTGTGCCATTGTGATAGATCAGATTGAGGTTCAGGAATATAGATCAAACACTTATACTATATTGTTTTTCCCCATGTGTTTGAGGTAACGTGGATCTGCCATCGTTCTAGTACGGTCGTTCTTAGTTCGTGTTGGATCGTCCACCATTCCGATCACTGCAGTCGCCGTGCCCAACGAACGCATCGTTACGGCCACGCGTCAGAGATCATGAAGGAAGGGCCGCTCGTGCGATCTGCGTCTTGACTGGCACTTGTTCCTAGTAGCTTCTTGTTACTACTAGCGATGCACTTGTTCCTAGTAGCTTCTTGTTACTAGTAGTAAGGCACTTGTTCCTAGTAGCTTCTTGTAACTACTAGTAAGGCACCTGT